TAGGTTTTTTTTTTAAATGGAGGGTCTTGCTATGTTGTCCAGCCTGACTGTATCTCCTGGCCTGAAGTGGTCCTCCCATCTTGGCCACTCAAAGTGCTGGGATTATAGGTGCAAACCACCACACCCAGGTAATCAATGTAATTTTAATGGGCATTTCTTTGAGGTTGAAGATCATGTCATAGGGTTTTTTTCTTTTTTTTTGAGACATAGTGTCACCCTTCGTACTGTGCCATGGTGTCACAGCTCACAGCAACCTCAAACTTGGGCTTAAGTGATCCTCTTGCCTCAGCCTCCCAAGTAGCTGGGACTACAGGTGCCCACCACAATGCCTGGCTATTTTGGGGGGTACAGTTGTCATCGTTTGGCAGGCCCAGGCTGGGTTCCAACCCACCAGCTCCGGTGTATGTGGCTGGTACCCTAGCCGCTGAGCTACAGGCACTGAGCCCGTGTCATAGGTTTTAAAAGCCAGCTGTATTTCCTTCCATTGACCTGAGAAAGTTCATTTGTTTTGTTTTCTACTGATTCCTTTAGTTATTGATTTATAGGAAAAGGTTTGTTTCTGCACACACACACACAGTTGGCCCCTGCTCTGGGATGTGAATTACAGACACTTCCTCTGATATGTCATTTGTCTGTTGGTCCTCTGACTCAGTGCTGCTTTATTTGCTATGCAGAGGTCTTTACACTTTGACATTCTCATCTATGACTGCCTTCAGGCCTCAGCTACTCCAGGGGTGAGGACTATCCTCCCTCTACACCCTCTGATGGTGTAGACATAACACTCGCCAACCCCACCTGGGCTCAGAACAGAGTCAGCTATCTATGGCTGTGCCTGTGGAGCTGCTTCTGGACCTGGGGCTCTCAGGGGCCCATAGTGGGCATCCTGTAGACCGTGGGCAGGGTAGCCTTGGAGCAAGTCCTCACGTTGCCCAGGGATACCCAGCCTTACTGCTCTGCCATCTTTATGATTCTGGGAGCGTCCCAAGAGAGGCCGGGAGACGGAGTTAATCACCATTAAAGCTGTTCTCTTGGCCCCATAGGCTCTGGCCTAACTTTGGCTGGTGACAAATTGTGCTAGGCAGTTGAGGCTATGGGCCCAGGTGGTGGGACCCCTGCCCTTCTCCCTTACCCATTGGCTAGGCCACGTTGGGAGGCCCCTGGCTTCAGCTTCCCATGTGCAGAGATTTAATATAGACTGCCTGATGGCAGGCTTCCTTCAGCCACCCCCCTCCCTATACCCCTCACAGTGTTTTGCAACCACCCAAGGTCCCCCAAGCCACCCACTATAGGGGTCCTCCTGGATCCTAGGATGTGCTGGCCCTGACATAGAGCTACTCTGACCTGGAGAATCCAGGCCTGTTCGAGGTGCAGGTGGGAGAGAGACTGTGGTTTTTCTGGGCGACACATTCTGGGCACAACTGTGCCATTCCTGTCTAGGGAAGAGGTCTGTGGTTTCTGCCATATCAGCTGCCTTTGTGTGTGGAGTGTAGTTTTTCCAGGCTCTGGCCCCAGCCCCCACCCATCTGGGCTCCACATGGGCAGCTATCTTGGGACCTCTGGTCTCTGGCCTTCCCGACTTGGAGCAGTCTGTGTACATAGATGTCCACAGTGCTGGTCTCAATGCTCCTGGGGAGTCCATTCCCTCTGCTGAGCCCCATCTAAGTGTCCTCAAGCCTTTGAGATGAAGTCATAACTCTTGGTGGGGCTTCAAGGGACTTCTGCCCCCACCAGCCCCATCTTGATCCTCAGGGTGACCCTTGGGGCCCTGGCATGAACTGGGCCTCCTTACTTTACCCCCAGATCTCTCCCTAACTGCCTCTCAGGACAACATCCCTGCTGGGAGGAACTGCCTAGCCCACCCATACTCTCCATGAGGCTCTCTCATGCTGCGTCATCCTGGAGACTTTTGGGACTGACTGGTAGGGCCCCTGGGTCACCCATTCCATCCTCAGTAGCCTGGTGCAAGGGTGTGTGTCTCAAATCCTGACCATGGCTTTCCCTAGCAGAGACCCTCATAGCAAACTGTGTGGAGAAGGTGTGTGTATGTGTGTGTGCGTGTGTGGGGTCTTTCCTGGGGTCTCCAACTATCTCCCTCTGTGTCCTCTGCCTGTGGCCCTGCTGGCAGACATCCTATGGTAGCCTTGGGTCTACCTATATGGCCTTGCCCATGGGAGGTTACAGAAGGAGTTCTTGGTTAGCCTGCCCCACTGGTCCTTTCTGTACCACTCAACCATGCCCCTCCCCACTCCTCACCTGCACCCTGGGCCCCGCTTCTCCTCCTGTGCCTGTACCCCAGCTGTATCCCTTCCCACTCTGCACCTCTTCCCTCCTGCTTCACCCTGCTTGTCCCCCAGGTGACCTTGCTGAGCTTCTACCTGCCATGGGTCTGTTTCCCACCTCAGGGAGAAGAAAGAAATGTGGCCCATGGCTTTCTGTCCACAGGGAGCTGACCCAGAGAGGGAGGAGCTGCTCCTTCAGGGCACTGGCCTGGGGAGCTTGTTTCTACTGATACTTATGTGGTGGGAGGCCCTGAGCCCTGCTTGTGTGTAGGTGGACACTTCTCCCAAGGACTGAAGGCCTGGGTCTACTCAAGGTGGCTGTGGCTGGTGCAGTCCACCTATCTAGAGACTTTGAGGCTGATGGTCTGAGCATAGAGCTGACAGGACTAGAATGGTGGTTATTTCCAGGGGGAACAGGTGATATCAGGGGCTGACCCCATAGACCAGGGTCAGGGCCTGGGCATTAGGTTGAGGTTGGGTTGGTTGTCCTCAGTGCTGGGGTCTGGCACAGGCCTTTCTGTGAAGATGAGAGCTCAGTGGTCTCGGGGGGGCTGCCTAAGAGGTCAGCTTAGCTTGGGGTCCTCAGCCAAGTCCTGCAGGTCAGCAGGAGTTTGTCTTGCATGGCCTTAAGCCTAGTAATGAATTACAAAGGCTGTCTCCAAGAAGAGGGCAGGCCATGACAAGGCATGTCTGACCAACTTAGCTTTAGGGTATTTCTGAGGTCCCTTAGGCTACTAGGGGCCCAGTCAGTCAGCTGGGGGGTCTGAAGGTCTTATTTTAGTTTTCTCCTGCCCCCTGGCCATGCTGCTCTCCCATGGGACTGTGCACACTTGGCTCTGCTGTCTCCCTTGCGCTGGCTCATTCTTACCTCTCTGTGCCCAGGCTGACTGGCAGTGAACCTCTGACCATCCTCCCGCTCACCCTGGAGCCCGAGGCAGCCGCCCAGGCACACTACAAGGCCTGTGACCGGCTGAAGCTGGAGCGGAAGCAGCGGCGCATGTGCCGCAGGGACCCAGGCGTGGCTGAGACACTGGTGGAGGCAGTCAGTATGAGCGCACTCGAGTGCCAGTTCCAATTCCGTTTTGAGCGCTGGAACTGCACGTTGGAGGGCCGCTACCGGGCCAGCCTGCTCAAGCGAGGTGAGTACTAACCCTCCCCTCTCTTACCCTTAGGGATAGTCCTTGGGGATGCCCTCAGGGAACCTAAGGCCCTGTCCCTGGGGCCTGCCCTCCCTTCAGCACAGGCACAACTCTTCCTACTGATGTGGGCCAATTTGCACAGTCTTTGGCAGGACTTCAGGCTGCCCGAGGCTGCCCTAATGGCTCTTGACTCATGCCAGGTGGCCAAGGGCCCAGTGGCTTCTGCTCCAGGCAAAAACCCTCCTCTCTCTTCTGCCCTTCCGTGTGAGGGTGCAGGGACTTGTGGGAGGTGTATTTAAACGTTCGGGACCTGAGAACCAGGGCAGGGCAGGACAGGACAGGACTTGCTAAGGGCCCCAAGGCAAGGGGCCTTGTAGGTTAGAAAGTAGGATGGGGGTCTCCAGTCACCGGGCCAGAGCCACTGTGGGCTCTGAATTCTCTCCCACTCACCCAAGCAGCCCCTCTTCCAGGGCACATGCAAGTGCCTCCTGCTCTCTGGGTGCCCACAGCTGCCCAGGAAGGTTCCGCACTCCTTGCCCTGTTTCCTGAACTTGAATACCAGCAAAGATCCTCGGAGCTCCCACACAGAATATGCGCTCCTGGAGGGTGGCTTGGCTGCAAGGCATATGAAATAAATGGGAGCTCCTGGGAGGCCTGGGCCCCGGGCCTCTCTGATTGGATCCTGCTGACCTCAGGCTTCAAGGAGACTGCCTTCCTCTACGCCATCTCTTCGGCTGGCCTGACGCATGCGCTGGCCAAGGCGTGCAGCGCCGGGCGCATGGAGCGCTGCACGTGTGATGAGGCTCCCGACCTAGAGAACCGTGAGGCCTGGCAGTGGGGAGGCTGCGGGGACAACCTCAAGTACAGTAGCAAGTTTGTCAAGGAGTTCCTGGGCAGGCGGTCGAGCAAGGACTTGCGAGCTCGTGTGGACTTCCACAACAACCTCGTGGGCGTAAAGGCAAGTGGGGCGGGGCTGAGCAAGGGAGGGTGGGTGCAGACAGAGGCCATCTGAGCAGGAGATGGAAGGGGGCTCTGGAGATAGGTTGATAGCTAGGCAGGCAATCAGCAATTGGTCAGCAGCACAGGAAAGGGTGGAGGTCACCTCTGCTCTCTCCAGTGCACTGCCAGCCAGGACCCTGGAGTTCTCTCTGTGCCTAGGTGAAGGCTTGGAGGAATGCCTGTGGTCCTCCATGGAGCAGGCTCCCATAGCCCCACACAGAAGAGAGCAGGGCCCAACTTGTTCCTGGTTAAGAGGAGGTGGGTATATGTGGACCCAGCTGGTCCAGGTCACAAGGATGATCTCTCTGGTTAGGCCATCTTACCAGGAGACTGGCAGGCTGGGCCCCACTTGGTAGACAGCAGCCACGGCAAGGAGGATGGTGGCCAGGGGATCCCAAGAAAGGGCTGTGAATATAGAACCCACTCTCCTAAGTCAGGGCTGAGTCTACATCCCTGTCTGTGGCCAGGATTCTCTTCTGAGGGACAGAAACCTAATTCAAAAGATGTAAGGGAGAAAGGGATCTCCTGGCCCTCCAAGGGCCACTGGCTGCCTTGTGCCTTGGCTGGGGTGAACCTGGCTTTCTGGCTGTCCTCTGGGCTCCCTGCAGCCTCTTGGCTCCTGTATCCACACTGCTGAGAGGAGGCATAGGATCCTATAACCTTCATTCTAGACAGAGCCCTCAGCATTGCCATTAAGCCTGAACAAGCTGAACCATAGAACACTGGCCCAGGGTTCAGCCAAGGCCATGAGACAGGCAGGGCCGGCTGCTCCGCCTCCTACCCTGCCGTCTTCTTCATGTCGGAATTGCGGGACGAGGTAATTAGAGCTGGCCCTGCTCTGAGCCCCTCTTTATTGAGAAGTCAGCATTCTGAATTGCCCACTTATTCAAGAATCAATTTCCCCCCTTTTGGAGCAGAGCTCTTCCTGCAGGGGTTGGGGGTCAGTGAAGGCGGATTAAATCCTGAAGGCAAGACCCTTTCTTCCCCTTGTGCCCAGCCCCTCCCTGCCCACTTGGCCCTTTTGTAAGCGATTATTGAAAAGTCAGAAATGTGAAAAGTTCTCCATTAGCTCTGCCTAGCCTGGGTCAGCCACATTTTAATTAAATTGGTCCGGGTTTCTCAGCAAAGCATCATTAAATGTGACTCTTTGTTTGCCTGGCCAGAGGGTAGCTACATTTCTTAATCCCCCTTGAGCTGACCTTCGCGGGGGTGGCTGGCGTGGGAGCTCAGAGGCCTGGTCCCACCTGGGAAAGGGCCTTCCCACTGGCCTGTCTTTGCAGGTGGGGCCCTGAGTCCTGGGTGGTAAAGGACCCAGCTAGGGTTCCCTAACAGCTCCCCAGATCTGGAATGTTGTGCTGGGCCATGCTTGCTTCTGCCTGTTTTTGGTGAGGGGTGCAGCCCTCTCCTCTCTGCAGCCACCCAGGAAGCCCTCCTAAAGTGCAGAGCTCTCTTTGTCCTTAGAAATTACGCTCATCAGGAGATGTGGCCTCTGCACTTCTATGGTGTTTACATCTACTTACTTACATCAGCAAGCTGACTCCATTGGCCTGTGGGGTGGGGGGACGCCCCTATACATGTGACAGCACCTGGCCCCAGTGCTTGGAGAATGAGTGGGTGCATGATCCGCTCAGACATAGACTACTGGGTGAGGTCACATTTGTCCTCACCCAAGCAGCGAACAACTCACTGAGACCAGACACATGAGATCTTGAACAGGGCTGGGATTGTTGACAGTGGGCCCTGCCCTCTGCAGGGACAGACTTTGGTGGGAAGGGAGTGTCTTAAAGGGGTGAGGACCAGCCTCTCCTCATGGAGATGCAGAGGTGGCCCCAGTAGGGACCAAGGAGCTGGCCACAGAGCCTCTATCCTGGGCAGTCCATGGCTTGGAGGAGGAGGGACAGGCCTATGAGTTGGGAGCCTAGGCTAGACATGTGATGGTTCTGGCCTCTCCAGGGGGCTTCTGTAGGCTCTTGGTGGGCCTGTTTAGCCTGGACCTTATGTCTGTCCTCTCTCCCTCCTGGCAGGTGATCAAAGCTGGTGTTGAGACCACCTGCAAGTGCCACGGTGTATCAGGCTCATGCACAGTGCGGACCTGCTGGCGGCAACTGGCGCCCTTCCACGAGGTGGGCAAACACCTGAAGCACAAGTATGAGACGGCACTCAAAGTGGGCAGCACCACCAACGAGGCCACTGGTGAGGCAGGCGCCATCTCCCCGCCAAGGGGCCGGGCCTCGGGGGTGGGCAGCAGTGACCCTCTGCCCCGCACCCCAGAGCTCGTGCATCTAGATGACTCACCCAGCTTTTGCTTGGCTGGCCGCTTCTCCCCGGGCACTGCCGGCCGCAGGTGCCACCGTGAGAAGAACTGTGAGAGCATATGTTGTGGCCGTGGCCACAACACACAAAGCCGGGTAGTCACAAGGCCCTGCCAGTGCCAGGTGCGCTGGTGCTGTTATGTGGAGTGCAGGCAATGCACACAGCGTGAGGAGGTCTACACCTGCAAGGGCTGAGGGGCTCCATTAGCACATGGCTGGGGTGGGGTTCGTGCTTGTGCCCCAGGCCTCGGCCTCCTCCTCTGACCCGAAAGCATTGCACCGATGCTTTCCGAGCTGTCCTTGTCCGAGCATGCCAGGCCTCGGGTGAGGAGCAGCCCTCGGCATGTGCACCTTTATGACCATGTGGCCTTCATGCATGTGTGGCCACCCGTGGGGGACTGGCCTGGCATGGGCTGTCCCAGCAGCAGCACTGTCTTCAGAGAGTGAAACCACTAGGAGAGGACAGAGCCTACCTGGTCCCTGGGGGCCCAGCTGCCCACATGCCCAGGCTCAGGGGACAGTGCCCTTTCCCCTCTGACGTTGAGCACTTCTCTTTGGAGTGAATATCAGTGACTTTTAAATTATTCTTCTTATTATTTAACTAATATAATAATTATTATTTCCTCCGTCCCTGCCATCCCCAAGGCTGCGACTCCCTACCCCCAAACTGCTCTCAGCTCAGCCCCAGTCTGGGAAGGCCTCTTCGTCCGTCCCTACACACTCCCTCCTAACTCTGTTTGCCTCTGATCTGCTTTGTCGTTTGAAACCACTAGATCAAGATAGACATGTTGTCGTTGTTAAAGAAATAAAGCAAACTGTGTCTGCCTGCAGCCCTCGGGGCTATTGGAAGCCAGCTCCCGCACCCACGTGCCAACTGTGCTGTGCTGTGCTGTGCAGTTGTCCCTGTTCCATGCCTATGGGCACTTGACCTAGCATCTGGGTGTCCCAGTGCAGATTTTGCAGCTGGGGGCGACCCAGGGAAATGCTGAGGTGAAGGTGCAGGGCGGGTTCATTCATGCCATGAGGAAGCCCACACTGTCTCTGTGTCACTGGGGAGAGGCAAGGTGGGGACAGATGTAGGTGGAGAGAGTTTAGCAATGGAATGTTGTTCTTTTTGGCTGTGCTGTTGTCTTTGCAGGGGAGAGGGTGGCCTATGCTGGCCTGGTGTGTTTTGAGTGTGTGTGTGTGTGTGTGTGGGTCTTGTGAGCATGTGTGTGCATGCTGTGCTGGTGTGGTCAGCGGTCAGCAGGGCCATGCCCTTCCTCAGAGCACTGTGCCATGCTGTCCGTGGCGTGAACAGCAGCCGCTGGCCCTGGGCTTCATCTGGTGGGTGTCTCAGTGGAGTCTGGGTGGGCTGCAGGTGTGGATGCAGGAACTACTGAGTGAGGGGGTTCCTTGGAGCCCTGGGGTCTCCAGGAGGCTGGGGACTATTTTTAAAAGAAAACCTATTTATGTGGATGTGGATCTCTGTTGTCCCTGTTTTATAATGTATATAGTAAAGTTTCTTTTCCTGTGGTTCAGAGAACATCTCCATGCATAACTGCATGCTGAGAAAACTGTCCCAAAGATGGGTGGCCTCCCCAAGGTCTTGTCCCCAGAAAAGAATGTAGGTGGCTGTATGCAATGGCTGTTAGAGGGAGAGGACATTGGGTTTGTCCCTCAGTCTAATGCAGGTCTGTCTAGGAATTAGGATGGCACATAAGTGTTCTCCGCGAATGTCTACACCTGCCGGGATCCCCAGCAGCAGAGCTGGCCATGCTCTCACGACAAGACTGTTGCTCAGTCACTTTTGGGTCTGTGGGAAGGCATCAAGTCAGAGGAAGGGTATTTTTTTATTGAATACCACATTTAGCTCTATGTCATAAATATTCAGAAAAGTATTTTTTTAAACAAAGCAGACTGAAAATGTCCGCTGGCTGGTTCGTCTCTATACAGATATATATTAGAATGTCTTGCTGAATGAAGAAGTGACTCCCAACTGTTGGAGCCTCCTGTTTAATGTGCTTCTCTTCCTTGCAGCAGAGTGGAAGAAGTGTGGTGCAGGTGGGACACGGAGTGCCAGGGCTGCCCCCTGTTTGGCCTTACTGTGGAGCTAGGTGGTCCCAGCTGCCTTCTCCCAACTTACCCCACTGTGGGGGATCTGGACTGGGGCCTGCCTGTGGCCAGGTGTGGGCAGGGAGGGGCAGATGGGAGAAGGACCCCTGTCTTTGTGTTTGGAGTCTTGTGCGAGCCGATTGATTTCTCTACCTCATCTGTGTAGCTCTTAGGTGTATACCCGAGTGACTGTGGAGAATGTATTTATTTAACAGCTTTGTATAACAGAATTGAAATAAATGGAAACACTAAATAAATGTATTTTAAATTATAGCCACATCTCAATCTGCTGCTTTCACAGGGGTGTCTGTGGGCCTGGAAGGAGGGCGGGGCGGGGGTGGTGGTGGAGGAGGTGGAGGGAGGAGGGCCTGGGGGAAGGAGGACTAGGGAGAAGGGTCTGGGGAGGAAGAGGACCTGGGGGGAGGAGAGCTTGGAGAGGAAGAGGCCTAGGGGAAGAGGATGACCTGGGTTGAGGAGGGCTAGGGGAGGAGGAGGCCCTGGGGAGGAGGGCTTAGGGGGGAGGAGGAGGGCTTGGGAAGGAGAAGGATCTGGGAGGAAGAGGGTTTGGGGAGGAGGAAGACCTGGTAAGCACGGATACCTGGGAGGAGGAGAGGTGGAGGGGGTCTGGGAGGAGAAGGCCTTGGGGAGGGCTTCAGGGAAGGAAGAGACCCTGGGGGGAGAAGGACATGGGGAGAAAGACCTGGGAGGGGAGTCTGGGGAAGAGGAGGATCTTGGCAGGAGGGAGAGATAGGGGAAGATAAAGAGGAGGGCCTGGTGAGAAGGCCTTGGGATGTCAGCAGCCTTCAGAAAGGAAGAGGGGCTAGGGAAGAGGAGGGCCCCAGAATTGGAAGACCCTAGGGAAGAACCCCTTTTCCCAGCTGAGTTGGTAACCCTTGATAGTCAGGCATTCCTGACTTGGTGGTCCCAGCATACTCTGGTCTCTCTGCCTCCTACAGATGGTCTCTCAGGGTCGGGGAGTTTGGGGGCTGCAGGGAACCCCTGTCAGATCCCCTGCACTCCCTCCCTTGCTTGTCACTTGCAGCCTTCCCACAGAATCGGGTCATCCCCACATGGCCCTGCTGTCCTCCTGCCCTGAGCCTGGGTTGCTCTGGGCACAGCCTGCCTTTCCCTCCTTGGCCCTGGGCCAGCCCCTGGTCCCCAGGCCCTCCCTCCTGCTCATCTCCATTTGAGCTCACCTTGGGGGTCCCTCAACCCTCCCTGGCTCACTCCTTTGAGATCCGTGCCACACCTCTCTTGGCACCTTGTGTCTAGTCTGTGCTGCCTGGACCTCAAGGGGCCACTCCTGCCACAATGCTGGGGGAGGAGATGCCTGTGGAGGAATATAACATTCTTTGCCTGTTAGAACAGCTTCCTTTCTCAGACCTGGGGACACCCTACTAAGAAGAGGCTGGGTGTCAGGGGGGCTCTTGGTGTCGGCCCCTTGCCTGCAGCCTCTGGCCAGGCCCCTTCAGCAGGCACAGGCCAGCTCCCCAGGTACTGGCTGCTCCTGTGGGCCAGCCAGGGGCTCAGGCCTCTGTGTCCTGCAAGAGGGGATGTGGATGGCCTGAATGGAGCCATTCTTCCTAGGTGATAGTGACTGAAACTGTAACTGCATTTAATCTGAGTGCAGGTGGTGGGCAGCAGGCAGGGACCAGGCTGCAGAGGACAGAAGTCACTGGCTGGGCAGGACCTGCAGACAGGCTTCATGCATAGCCAGCTCCCTCCCACCAGGGCCTACTGACCCTCCCCACCCAAATAAACAGCTCTCTGTGGACACTTTTTGTCTTCTCCCCTTGGCCTTGAGGCCCAGCTTTATGGCCTGGGACAGATGCTGTGTGGGTCCGGCCAGTCTTTTGGGGGTCTGTTTCATGTGTCCATATATGTGTGTGCAGGTATGTGAAATTGGGTCCATGTATCTGTGTCTGCATATGTATACATGTACATGCATCTGTGTGTTTATGCATCTGTGTCTGCGTGTGTATGTATGCATGTGTGTTTGTGTCCATGTGTCGCTATGCACTCAGGTATGTTAATGAACATGTGTGTGGCTGTGTCTGTGTTGTGCATGTGTTTCTGAGTGTATGTGCGTGTGTGGCTGAGTCCATGCATCTGTGCCCATGCATGTGCATGTGTGTGCATGCATGCATAAGTGTCTGTGTCCGTATGTCTCTGCATTCAAGTATGTGCATGCATGTGTGTGTGTGCACGCTGTGGGGATGTGGTGCTGGGCCACAGATTATCTCCTTTCCAGCTGCTGCCTGGCCCCCACCCCTCCCTTTGGCCTCCTCCTGCTGCTACTGCTGAGTCCTCCAGAGGCAGAGGGAAGGGAAGCCTGTCCAACCACATCCACCAGGTGGGCAGAGCACCCTGGAATGGTGAGGTGCTTTACTATTTGTGGGGCAGTCCCTGGGGACAGGGCATCTGTCTCTGCTGGCCCTGGCTGTCTGGGGTGAGGAGTGGTGGGAGGTCTCAGGTGCCATTCACAGGTGGGAGGCAGGCTGAGGACACACAGGTGGCCAGAGACAAGCCTAGACTGAGCCAGGCTGGCTGGGCCAGGCAGCTCCTGGGCCCTGCTGGGCGGTGGCAGGCTTCTGGCTATCCTCCAGGCTGGCGGCAGGAGATGGCTGGGGGATTAGGTAAGAGGCGCAGTTAGGTAATGTCTCAGAAGGGCCTCGCCTGTGCAGAGAGAAGGTATGGGGCTGGGTCCTGCCTGGCCTTCCAGGCAGACTTCCAGAAGGATGGAGGTGAGAGGAAGAGGGGAGTGGGGAGGGGAAAAAGAAGAATGGGGAGAAGAAGAGGGAGAGGGGAGGGAATGAAGAGAAGAAGAGGACAGGGAAGACCAGGAGGATAGGGAGGAGGAGGGAGGGAGGAAGAAAGAAAGAGGAGGGAGGAGGAGAGGAGGAGAGGAAGTGGAGGAAGAGAAATAGGCGGGAGGGAGAGAAGAGTCAGGCCTGAGCTCTGCAGGCTATAGTGGGCCCCAGCATACTCCTGCTGTGTTCCAGGCCCTGGAAACCAGGGAGGACCCAGAAGGGTGTCCTCGCTGCTCTTGAGGCCAGCCTGGTTGCACATAGCAGGAGCCTGGGGGTAACCACAAGGCAATCA